TCCCGTTAAGGTTTTAACTCCTGTTCCTGTTCCTGTTCCTGTTCCTGTTCCTGTTCCTGTTCCTGTTCCTGTTCCTGTTCCTGTTCCTGTTCCTGTTCCTGTTCCTGTTCCTTGTTTTGATGGATCTCCTGGCTTTGGACTTACTCTTGTTTTTTTTGGATACCCTCTAAGGATTACTCTCTTGGATTGTTTGCCTCGGCCACACTTCCCCGTGCACCAGCGCACTTTGGACACGCCCCCCTGTTTTCAACCCCGTATTCCTGCATGACGTTTTCCCAGTGTTTCCCCACTTCTTTGGATTTTGTCGTCCGCATAGGGTCCGGAAAGACCTGTTCGTTGCAATGTTTAAATATCTTATTTTCGTAGGAGCTGATGGTGATTTTATCTTTTTATTTTAACCTGAATGTTAAAGTGCTCTTGGCCACACCCTCTTGACTCAATTAAATCACTAAAACTATTTTATTGTCCAAACCTACCACAATATTTTACTAATACACAGATGCAGTCATATAATTTAAATGCATTCCTGAATAGGGTAAATCTGCTTCTTCTCAGAGCTGTTTCTATATTGCTAACTTTTATTAACAGAAAAAGATGCAAATATCTAAAAATTAATCATTTATTAAATGACAGAATGCTGTGTCACGTCAAGCACTTTATAGGGACTCCTTTATTCACAAACTCCTTTCCATGGCCACCAGCTTAAACAACATTTGAACTTGCATTTGTATTAATACTGCCAATAACCCTGGAACCCCAAATAATAACACCCACTGTAGGCTATCACTATTAATTCAAAATCCAATGAGTAGCTATTACTTGAACTCATGCATTCCTCAAAAAGATACTTTAGCAACAACTTACTACACCTAACAATGTACTGTACAACTTATCACATGTTTATTATACTTACTGTATTGCAAAGTATTACGAAGCTCTAGAATGTAGACAGGGAATTGTGCTGGATTTCACAAACTTTTACAAAAGTGTACTGTATAACCATCAGACTATTCAATTTATCCGTAAAGTCATGAATTTCTGAGAATGACATCTGTAAGGTTTAGTGTTCTGAACATGATGTCAACTTTTATAAGTATTTCTGTGCTTAGTAGAGAGATGTGGATGAAGACAATTATTGAGGTTCAAGTTAAGTAATCAAAGGGATGGGATAAATGTTTACTCAAAATCAAAATTAAATTGCAACTTAATATGAAGTTATCCTTATATGTATACAGCAGTTTAATACACATTTAAAAACGTATACTTTTGTATAATCATTCCCAGCTTTACAGAGATTTGGAGATTATGTAAAAGATCTAAGCTCTAAACACACATAAATTATAGACATTTACCAACACTCATGGAAAACAATCAACTGTTCACCTTTTTATAAAAAGTGTAGATGTGTAATTTCCCCTGTCAATTGTTTTCCTTTTCTGCTTTGTAAACAATTGTACTAAAAAGATCCAGCCAAAAACAATTCATATTTTAATATTTTTTAAACGAAGAAAGAAACCAGAAATATCCATTACTGGTTTACGCCCATCACATCACGATCTATGACAAAATTAGCATTGTCATTAATTAGCATAAGGTCTTATTTAAATGAAAACCTCAACCCACTTGCTAATTGGCATAATGCTTCATTAAAGATAATCACATTGGATAGATGAAAGACTCCTCTGGTGAACAAAAGCCATCATCAAGTCCCTAAGTAATTTGTAAGTAATGAGTGGACAGGAAATTGGATTCAGTGTGGTGACCTCCACTAACCATTCCTCTTTTGATCTCCTTCCAGGTGAATCTGCCACGAGCTATGATATTAGCCGTCCCCATGGTAACAGTGCTCTACCTGCTGGTAAATGTCAGCTACCTGGCTGCCATGACTCCCAGAGAACTCATGTCTTCCAACGCTGTGGCTGTCACATGGGGGTGAGATGAAATGAAGGGACTTAGAAACCTGTCGGTGATCAGACCAATGTGCTCACTCGAATAGCAAGGGTGCTGCAGAGACATCTGACTTCAAGTCATACACCAATTTTTATTTTAACCCAAGTAATTCAAAATATTTATTTTCTTACATTCAATCATACATTAGAAATCCAAACAGACTGTACCATTTTCTTTTATCATTTTATGTCCCGTACTTTTGTACCCCCAAAAAATAGATGTATAAAGCCATCAGTAAACATCTGCTTTGGGCTGTCCTGTTTGACTAAAGTAACAAGACAAAAAACATACAATTATTACATCTTTATTCACCTTTCTGCCCAAAGAAATTTTTCCAAGTCTTTCCCTTGGTTCTTTGTAACATTCCTCTTTACTTAATTCCCTATTTACACATATACTTGAACAGAGTAGAATGGGTCTTTGAGGCTGCCTCTCAGGCGACATCTAGTGGTAGCTTTGCTTTCGCAAGCTAATGAGGTTACATCAGCTTCTCAATGTTTTCTTGTTGCTTTCACATCTCTATTAGAGTTTGTTACGACTGTATTGCTGTAATAAAACTTTGTTAGCTTGGGAAAACTGAATGTTCTGTGAATCCTTTTAATTTCCTGCTTACTGTATGTGATATGGCCAGCAGCCATATCACCCTGCAACTCACAACTGGCAACCCACTGAAGCTAAGCAGGTGTGAGCCTGGTCAGTACCTGGGACAGTAGTTTTCCTGGGAAAAACTAAGGTTGCTGCTGGAAGAGGTGTTAGTGGGGCCAGCAGGGGGCGCTCACCCTGTGGTCCATGTGGGTCCTAATGCCCCAGTATAGTGATGGGGACACTATACTGTAAACAGGCGCCGTCCTTCGGATGAGACGTAAAACCGAGGTCCTGACTCTCTGTGGTCATTAAAAATCCCAGGGCGCTTCTCGAAAAGAGTAGGGGTATAACCCCGGTGTCCTGGCCAAATTTCCAATTGGCCCTTACCAATCATGGCCTCCTAATAATCCCCTTCTATGAATTGGCTACATTACTCTGCTCTCCTCCCCACTGATAGCTGATGTGTGGTGAGCGTTCTGGCGCACTATGGCTGCCGTCGCATCATCCAGGTGGATGCTGCACATTGGTGGTGGTGGAGGGGAGTCCCCATTACCTGTAAAGCGCTTTGAGTGGAGTGTCCAGAAAAGCGCTATATAAGTGTAAGCAATTATTATTATAATTAATGCATGTTTAATATTTATATAATACCTCTCAACTCTGCTTTAAGAGAAGCATAGCAAGACTTATGCCTTAAAAATAAAAACGATCAAGACAGATGTCTGCATGGGACACAATTAAAGCACCAGCATGTTAACATGTATGAGAGAACTGCCATTGTATGAATGTCACTGAGTGTTTGATTAATTTAATAATGAGGACAGAAGTAACTATGTGTTCATTAACAGGACCAAAGTGCTCGGCAGCTGGGCTTGGCTGATGTCAGTGGCTGCTGCGCTGTCTGCTTTTGGATGTCTCAACGGGAGTCTCTTCAGTGGAGGCCGAGTGTGCTTTGTGACAGCAAGAGAAGGACATATGGTAAGGAAATTGTCAAATCAAGAGCTTCTGCACCTTCAAAACCCAACATACAGCCACGAAACACATACAGGATGACCCCTCAACTGGAGCCTTTTTTCCAGATCCATCAAGCATCTACCAGACAGCACAATCATACCGTCAAACATCTAATCACACAGCCTTGTTATCCACAGTTGTCCACAGCTCCCTTAACTGTCCACGGTCATCGTCCGGAACAGGTGCGCATACTGTACACCACCCCTCCGGCCATTTCCAGATCACCAGATCCATTCATTTACAAATTGCCACAAATTGGTATTGATTAGTTTTTTTTTTCAAATATAAAACACTTTCTTGCTTGTACAAAAAGCTCAGAAAATGCAATGGGTATTATATCAAATTTACATATGAAAATCATTCCATAATATTAATATATACTGAGAGGTATCAAAAACATAGCAAATGAGTATATGAACCAGCATCAAATTGTTGCATTTTAAGGTTGTCATAATGTATTATTTGTTAAAACTGTCAGTAGAGTTTTTTGTATTTCCTGTAAGATAAGAATAGTTTAGTGAACACTTGCCTTACGATAAAGCAATATGTATTAACAGATAGAGGACAACAAAATGGAAACACTAATGTAAAGTCACTTCATAGGGTATTGAGCCACCCCAAGTTGTGGTGTTGGCCAGTACAACCTGTATGTGCTGTGGTATAAAGTCAACCAGTGCCTGGAATTCTTAATGAGAGATGCAGCACCAGTCTTCCTCAATGAAGTCAATCCACTCACACTTGGTTGATGCAGGTTAAGAACTCAGGTGTTGTTCCAGAATATCCCATTAATACTCAACTGGGTGTCGGATCTTGTAGTAGACCCTATGCGATGAAGTAAGAGCTGGAGAAAACAGGAGGCGTGGTATATAGGAAAACACACAGGGGTTTAAAAGTGCACAAAATAATAGTGACAGTTCGTGAGACAGTGAACGGGGGAGACAAAGAATGGCATCCAAATTCAAACAGGTCCGAAGGCAGGTCAGGGCACAGTCTGGGAGTCCATTAACAAGTAAGTCATTCTGGGATGCGACAAGGTTAAAATCCCGGGGAAGGGCGAAAACACGAACACGGGCAAAACATAGAGGTCCATGGGTAACAGGGCAGGATCCTCCAGACCCCGGGCTCAGGAAGCGGGAGGTGTCGGGGATGAGGCCTATGCCCTCAGGAGACAGATATAGGGTATCCTGGTGCTAGATGGGCCTGGCGACATCCTTACCCTAAAGTTGAGCCCCGAGGACTAGAGGAACTAGACTTTAATAGCAGTACACAAAACAGGGTACACCTGTGGAACATGGCAACAATCATGGGACTAATAACAGGAGTAGTGGAGTGCCCTCTAGGGGAGGAATGTCGGGCATGACAGACCTGGTAACTGAGAAAGCCATGTCATACTGTATGGATAACATCAGTGTCATGCTTTTCAAACCACAGGGTGACTACAAATGCTCTGTGGATGGGGGCATTGTCCATCTTTAGGAAAGAAATGCTGCAACATGGGAGATGTACCGCTCAGTAACATTAAGTAATGATTTGCACTGACTTTTCCTTATAAGGGAAAGAGGGAACACATACCATGCCAGATAAATATGCCCAACAACATTATGGAACTACCAGAACCCTTTACTGTTGGAACCTAACACTCGGGGTGTTGTGCACTCATGCGTTTGTTGAGAATATGGTGAAGGAAGACTGATCTGACCCTATCCCATTTCTCTACTGCTCAGTAGTCAATTGCCTTTGCTCTCAGCGCCACTGGATTCGCAATCATGCCAGGTGATATGTGAGGTTTATTCCCTGCAGCCTTACTATGATATCCCACTCACCCTGTGGAGTTCTTGGAGTTTCTGATTAAATTGGCACCCCAGATTGACATTTGCAGCCCATTTATCTGTATTTGTACACCTGTATTGCCTTGTTCATGAACATCATGGCCTTGGAGTGTGGACTTCCACCCACTGTTACCCTTTTCTGATGATCTCTTTCTCTTGGAGTTGGACATCTCCTTAGACACCGCTGCTTGTGAAACATCAGCAAGTCTTGGTTACTGCTATAATTATAGGTAACCGGACCTCTCCAGTACTTTTTCTACACAATCCTAAGCATGTTAGTATGTCATTTGCTTAATTAACGCATCTACTTGTGTGACAGCGCTTGATTTCAACATACTTGTTGTCACTCATTTACCCAGGTTTTTTCTGTCAACTACCTGTATGATCTGTATGAGCTTGCTGTTCCTCCTTGGTAACTCAGCTGCTCTGTTTTGCTTTTGCTCAGCCGGACATCCTGGCGATGGCTCACGCCCGACGCCTGACTCCTTCCCCTGCTATCATTTTTAACACAGTGATAGCATTAGTGGTGCTGATACCTGGAGATTTTCAGAGCATCGTTAACTATACCAGGTACAAACACAGTTCTCCTGGGGTGCCCTCGACCTCATCCCAACAGACATGAGGTATGAGATCACACCAACATTGAGCGTTGTATACTCTCGAGGCATTTTGTTTATAAAACATTTTCTTATGGTTTTTTTTGCTCAATTTTACTCTTTGCGCTTTATGATTTTCCTGCATTATCTTTTGAATCATCACAAAAGTTTTTGTTGCTGATATATTTATTGGCTGTTTTACAGGTAATTGTAACTAAGTGTAAATAAGAAGAGGTACAAAATAGGTTGTCAACATGCCAAACATAATGCAGTGTAATACAAGGTACAAATTTAAAAAGAAAATTGTTCAGAATCATATTCAAAGGTTACAGTAAACATAAAACTACAAGAAAATGCTTCTTTAGCAGATGTCAGGCACAGGAGATAAATTGTTAGGATCAAAGAACAGGCATTGGAACACTGGAAACACACGTGCAATTTAAAAAGATTAGGCCTCTGAAGACACTAAAATGTGTTCTGAGATAAAGAGTAGGGGCTAGTATCACAGGATAGCTGGTAAGACAGAGAGAATATAGAAAATATAGTACATGATGGAAAGTAAGGAGTGACTGGACTGGAAGTAGGAGACAACAGAGTGATGGAAAAAGCCAACAACTAGTAAAATGTAATAACAGGCAAACATAGTGGGACTCTTCATTTAGGAAGACGTTTACCAAATACATATAATTTAATATACACTTTTAGTTAAACTAGTATTAATTAGCAGAGCCATGGTAGCTCAGACGACAAGAGAGGCTAGCTCCTGACTGGAAAGTACTGGGTTCAATCCCAGGTAGGGCCAAGCAATGTAGCTTGCTCTAATTTCTTCCAGATGGCTCCCAGGTCCACCCAGCCTGCTTTCCAAATGAGTAGCAGGGGTTAATCCCTCCAGGGCTAATAGGCTGGCTGGAGTGTAATGCCCACATCACCTCCACCTCCAGTGTTGGATGGCCCAAATGTATTCCAGCGAGAGTAAAGATTTTACTTCCATCCATCCATCAATTGTCAATGGGCACAGGATAGGTAGGATACACCCCGGACAGAACGCAAGTCCTTCGTAGGGCAGATAGACACAAACACACTCACACCAGCACCAGTCTTCCTAGAAGCTGATTTACCTACATGTACTGTATGTCTTTGGAATAGTGGGAGGAAACTGGAGCACCCAGCAAAAACAGGGAGAACAGACTCCATGCAGAATTTACCCCTGGTCTGGGATTGAACTCAGGGCTCCATCTGTACAAGGCAGTAATGTTGACCACTGCACCACTAGGCCACCCCAAGAGTCTATCTAAATTGTACAAATTTCATAGCATTCACAATATTTGAAAACATATTTGTGATAAGTGTGGTTTAATAAACAACATCTATTCAACCCAATTATTTTGTGAATGACAAGGAAACAAGGCAGTTCTTTCTGTATATAGATTTTAACTGGTACCTTAAAAGGAAAGTAATTATTTGACTTTCAGATGTTATTTCGAAGATTTTTTTTTTGGTTCTGATTAGCCACTCGATTGTATTCTATTGACATTAACTTTGCGTGAATTTGGTGTTGTATTTGAAAGGAGTGTGGAGCTGGAATTAGGGCTTTGGATTTACTGTAAGGTTGTTATTTTAAATCCTGGGCCCTGTTGTTGGAAACTTGAGCAACGTGCTTTACTCAGATTGCATCCTTAAAATACACAACTGAATAAAGAGATACAAAATGTGAATTGATTTGGATAAAAGCGGCAGACACGCATGCATATAAATGGTTAAAAATAAATCTGTAAATTACAGCTAATTTTTCACTGCTGTAATTACAGCTTCATGGGCTGGATCTTTAATGGGACAACACTGGCCGGACTTCTGTATTTAAAGATTAAAAAACAGAACATCCACAGTACTTACAAGGTGAGATAACAGAAGAAAGTTCCTATCATTTTTTCTTAACTGCATAATAATCATAAAATGTTGCATTTGAAATACAGTATCTCTTGCATATTATTTGTTGAAAAGGAGCGAGTAGAAAATAAATCCAGGCAGAAAAATAAAAAGAAAAGAAAAAACAGGTGTGTAGGAGAATGCAAAAGAGAGCAGAAAAATAAAGCAAAAGGGTAAAGAGATAAAAAGGCAGTGTGAGAAAGGGAAGGGGAAATGTGAACAGAGAGTCTAAAAAGAATGTAAATTTCCGAGGCAAATTCCAGTGGAAGTGCAGAATTCTCACATTCCCTTTCTTTCGCCCACTATCCATTTGCCACTTATTACTGCTTTCTAACACATGGAGGCAAGCCCTGCTTGTTCCCCTGCGGCTCTGATACTGACTCAGTTCCCCTCTTGAACCACAACTGTGGAAAATGTCATTAACAGTTTTTGCTTGAGGGAATAGCGTCATCGCTCTGAGATCAATTGTAATTTAGTAGAGAAAGTAGGTTATTCATTCCTATTATAATTTAATTGTAAATGTGGCATTTTATACATATTTATGAATTGTACCTAAGGGACATAACTGTTTTGATGCCCCAAAAGCCTTTATTTCTTTGTTTTCCAGGAGTACTATTCAATATCTTCACACATATCCAGTGTTTATTTGATTACCATAACATTCAATTAACATGGTAATAGTATCTTTTGTGTACTTATGAACTTTCCAGGTTTTTGTACTTTTTATTACAAGGTACATTGTTTAAAGTTTACCTCTAATATGAGTTCCCAAAAATGAACAGGACTCATCCTTTAAAAGAACTATAACCTACAGAGAGCTAACTGATAATGTGCAGTCTACAGGTTCAGTTAAGTGGCTCAATGAATAAGACACTAATCTGAACCTAAGAGAGGATGGCCACTCTTACTCTATCATGATGTTATGTTAATGGAGTGAATTAAAACTGATTCCAGATGGGCTTACATCCCACTGCACTGTTATTCAAGAATGAACAAGTAAGCACATAGTAATATAAATTCTTAGTTTAAAGGCAAAATTCCTATTGTAAAGTACTGAAATCGACAGAGAAGCAATACAGAATTCTTGCCTGTGGTGAAAATAAGACAGATGTATGTTAGAAAATAATTTCATAGTTCTAGTTCATGGCAACAGAATGCACACTCATTAAAGGTTCCATATTGTACTGTGACATAGAAAAAAGTGATATTCTATCACTAGTAAAATTTTTCAGTTGTTGAATTCAGAAAAGATAAAGTCATGTCTTCCTGGCATCAGACTGGCAAGACCAGAACATATACAAGTAAATGGTATATCCATGAAAAAGACAGTACTGAGATGACAGGACCATCAAAAGAGAAAACTATGATCAGAAATAACACCACACATCCTAACGTCACGGCCAGGTCAATCCCATTTCTATCAATAAACCTCTTTTACATCAATTGCGTAATTATAATAAATTCAATTAGCGGAGCACAAATGCAGAAAGCTAATTAGATAGATAAGACTTTATCTATTAATAATGAATGTAATTATGTGAAGGAATTCAGCTTTAGAACATTACATCACTATCTTAATATTACTGAAACAGTGGCACAGTATAGACACCTATTAGGTTTTGCGTGCACGTGCATTTAGGTAAGTAATGTTGTCTGATGCCTTGACTATGGAAAAAATTACCCCAAAGATAAGAAGTAGGTACAAAGCAAAACAGAATACGTTTTGAACCCTGAACAATAACGGAATTGTCTAATTGTCTCTCAGTACTCTGAAAGGATATACTGAGAGGATACAACACTTGCCTCTAATGTGTTTTCTAATTGGTTGCAGGTCCCATTTATCATTCCAGTCGTGATGTTAATTGCTGCAGTCCTTCTGGTCTTGGCCCCAATCGTTGACAATCCTCAAATTGAATACCTGTATGTCAGCCTTTTCATTATCGTTGGTATTCTCATCTATATTCCTTTTATACACTTCAAGCTTTTTCCAGGAGTTTTTAATAAAGCAACTGTGGTTTTACAGCTTTTCCTTGAAGTTGCCCCCGTTGACAAAAATATATAGTAGATGTTGCTGTACTACAGTTCATCAACAGGCCAGTCAGATGTGTAACACCACTCCATGACATCCTGAGATAATATATGGACAGTCTGCTCCTCACATTTATGACAAACCTGTAGCAGGGATTCTAGTAAACCTGAGGAGTTAGGTGTCTCTTCATTTTACAGGAGTAGGGTCCTCCACCAAAGTAGCTACTCTGGAACCAGGAACCAGGAAGTTCCCTGAAATAGGCCGTGGGGAGCATTGACCTGTTCATAGACTATAAAAATCATATTGATTAATCATTAGGAGACTGACAGTCTGACCCAACATCCTAGAGTTGAAACAGAGAAATGGATGTTAAGTCCAATATAGTACCTGCTTATGGTCTACGTATGGATAGCTGAAGCTGATGTTTCTCAGAAGTGTCCAGTTTCTGTGCTTATCAATGTCTTATCAACTCTGGGGTAAGGTTTAGGGCGACCTTGTCTTGAGACAGAGAGACCGCCTCAGCCAGTTGTGCAGCTGGAGTCTGGTATAAATTCTGGGCATCAGGAAGTATTTTCTGGGGAAGTCATCCTGTAGTTGAAGGGGTTTGACCTATTGAACAGAAGCTGTTTTTGCAAACATGTTACTGTGAGGAGCCATGAGGTGAACTGTGAACCATCATCACTATAACTCCTATAAAATGAGATGATTTGAGATGACACTGCAGCATGGCCAAACTGGATGATACTGATCATCCAGGTGGATAGGGTACAATTTTAGCAATGGATGATGTGATGAAGTCAAAAGGAGTGCTGTGTTAGTTGTTTACACTCCCTTCCGGGATGGTTACAAAGCCCTCCCCCGACCTTTTTTCGGCAAATCTTTTAAAAAATTCAAACCACACAAGGCTCCTGGCCCTGATGCTATCCCTGGCCTTGTTCTGAAGGCATGTGCAGACGAGCTGGCAGATGTCTTCTCAGACATATTCAATCTTTCTCTAGCTTAGTCTATAGTTCCTTCCTGCTTTAAGAAAACCACCATCGTCTCAGTCCCTAAGAAACCCAGAGTCAGCTGCACTCACATCAGTTATCATGAAGTGCTTCGAGCAGTTGGTCAAAGCACACATCACCTCCTCACTGCCTGACACCCTAGACCCACTGCCGTTATCACCAGAACAGGTCAACAGAGGATGTTATTGCCACTGCCCTCCATACTGCCCTCTCACACCTGGATAAGAAAGGAACATATGTGAGAACGCTGTTTGTTGATTGCAGCTCAGCATTTAATAGTGCCCTCAAAGCTTGTCATCAAGCTCCAGGATCTGGGACAGAACACTTCCCTATGTAATTGGATCCTGGACTTCTTGACAGAATGTCCGCAGGTGGTGAAGGTGGGCACCAACATATCCTCTACCCTGACTCTAAACACTGGAGCCCCCCAAGGCTGTGTGCTTAGCCGTGTCCTCGACTCCTTATTTACCCATGATTGTGCCACCAGACATAACTCAAACTCCATCATTAAGTTTGTGGACGATACAAAAGTCATCGGCCTGATCACAGTTTTAAGTTCCTGGGAGGACTTAACCTGGACCCACCACACCAACATTGTGGTCAAAACAGCACGGCAGCACCCATTCTTTCTCCTAAGGCTAAAGAGGTTTGGCATGCCATTACATATCCAGGCCAGCTTCTACAGCTGGTTGCATCACTGCCTGGCATGGGAACTGCTCTGCCCGGGATTGCAAAGTACTGCAGAGGGTGGTGAAGTCAGCGCAGCTCATTGCCAGCTGTAAACTACCAAACATCCAGGATATCCACTCAGCTAGATGTCAAGAAGGCCAGGTCCATTCTCAAGTACCCCAGTCATCTCAGTCACAAACTGTTTTCTCTCCTAACGTCCGTTAAACGGCACCGAAGCATTCGGTCAAAGTCCAACAAATTACGGAACAGCTTCTACTTCCAGGCAATAAGACTGCTAAATAGCCAAGCTGCAGTTCCTTCAGCAAATCACCTGTAATGGCTACATAGACATACAGTTTTCATTGTATTTGGCATACTGTACTACTTGGACATAATGTATTGCATACACCCTGGACATTAGAGAGAGCATTTCCAATTAGATTCACACACTCCCCCAAATGGTGTAATGTAGTCACCACTGTGAGTAATGAAAGAAGTGATGTAAGGAGTGGACTGCCCCTATATTCCTATGGAGAGGGTTCCTGACTGGCACATTGGCTGTCCTGTTGATTGATGGCTAGTCTACTAAATGAAAAAGAGAAGAGCCTGGTCGCTATATATATTAAATAACAATATTTGGCAGGGAAGCATTTTTTCATATAGATCTGCCGTACTGCCACACGGTGGTTTTTCGTATAGATCACTGATGTACTAGAACACTCATGTTCCAAAAGGAGTATTTGTGAAGGTTTTGGGATATATTTTACTATCAAAATCATGTTACTGCTGTCTGGGAAAGGGCTTTAAGGGGTCTTCAAAAATGTAAAGGAGCTAAGTCTGCATCTGTTTTGATCTGAAAGTGTTTTCAGGTTAGTCTTGACTAACCAGTCTTGATCCAGAATATTATATTGAGAAAATAAATTTATAGGGGTTTGAAATTAATCTGAATTTCAGTCTTAATCAGGCACATTGAAGTAACCCCTCTGTGAATATCACTCTCTTGTTGTTTGTTGTTATTTTGTATATCTTTCGTAACTCTGTATGGATATTGTGACAAAAGGTTTAAAATATATGAATCATTTTTATTATAAAATGTTATTTTTAAATCTATTTTTCTATATTTGTATAATCTGTCCCATAATAATTCTGATTTTTAATTAAAAAAGTTATTTAATCCTATGTTCTTCTCTTTATTGACTTGTTACAAAGTTACAAAGCAGTATATACATGTTTCATCTTTATTCACTTACTATTCCTCATTGTCCTCCATAAGCCAGAAGTTAACTAATAAGTGGTCTCAACACACTCTCTGGCAGGTTGAGCAGGTGCTGTGCTGCGCAGTCTGGTCATAGTGAGATCTCTTTGAGTCTCTTACTTTGCTTCAATGTACCGATCTCTTTGGACCTCTCTTTTCCACTTACTGTACATGGAAAGGACATGGAAAAACATGTAAACGACATGCATATACTACGTCTACCTGATTCAGTCAAGAGGCATAATCTCCCACTCGATACCGTCAATGCATTTTTTCATGATTTCTTTCACCACTTCTTCATAACTTCTTCTGTCCTCATCTGGTGTATTTGCATTGGCTAATTTGGGAGAAGAGAAACTTCTTAAGGAGCCTAGAGTATTGCATCTGGATGACATGACCTACAAAATGGGACTGACGATGGATGAACATCACAATGTTTATGATGCCTGCTTGGAAGACAACATTGATATTTGTTTGTCAGTTTACCTAAGGGATACATAAAACCCTCCATAACAGTGTTTAAAGAGGGATATGATCCTTGCACTTTTGAATATCCCCTATATGTTGTCTTTGTTTCAGCCCTGTACAGTAAAGTACTGTAGGAATGAGGACTGCTTTGTAGACCATAAGTTTGGTTTCACACTGAGGGTATTTGAAGTTGTATTGATCTTTAAATACCCTCTTCCTCAGGGTGTGACATAATACAGGGGTGTGTTTGGTGTGGAGGCGGAGCCCTGGATTAAGGGCAGTGTCTTGCCTTAGCAACCACAGCAGCCCTGGCTAATTAAGGACGAGCCACAACTGTGGGAGCCCTTTAAAACCCACTGAACTCCTACCCAGAAGGACGAAAATCTTCCAGCGACAGTCCAGGAAGGGAACTGTGACAAGAGCGTTTGAGGCTGCATTTTTCCTTCATTTTCTTTTCTTTTTCTTTTCCCCTGTCCCGCTGTGTACTGTATCACCCAATCTAGAGAGTGCACTACATTCTTCATGGATTCATCTTCTGAATGTTAATTGTAAGTTCTTATGTGTATCAGGAAATACTGTATGTTGACAGCTGTTTGGATATCCACACTAGTTTCTGCCCAGTTTCCATCCTCGGGTGAATGTGACAATCATTACACTTCATCTTCAAATTACTGCTCTTAAAAGGCTTAGCATTTACAATTGTATGACTCCTGGGTGAGTCTAGAAATAAACTCCCCAGAAGCTCTCCAAACTCCAAACTCTGACTTTTGGGTTTTTCACAACAGTTGAGCAGTAATGTAATGCTGCAACTCTTACCTGACTGACAGCAGTGGTCAGAGGAAATGAGGTGGACCCTAGTGAAGATGAATTCAGGCAATAAGGCTGATGAGAGCAGGGAGGCAGGTGGGCAGACAGAGAGACATAATCCAAAGTCATAGTTGAAAGTGAAGCAAGGCTCGAAGCCAATAAGACTGGGCAAAAGAGCAAACAGCAAATCCAAGTGTAGTTGTAGTAAACAAGTTAGGTTCATAGCTAGGAATAAGCACATGCATCTGAACCAAGGTCAAGACAGAGTCAAAACACCAGACAACACAGGCAAAGCAGAGGTGAACCAGAGACATACTCAGAAGCACAAGTGTAAAATGTAGCTGGGAGAAACAGGCAAAGCATGAGAGAAACTAAGCATTGAAACTAAAGTAAAAACTCAAACACTGAATGGGAATGTGACATGGAGACTGGTCTTAAATATTCTGCTAAATGAGGTGACTATTTAGTTGCAATCTCTTGGAACTGATCTTCTTCCTAATTGTTTTCATGACAACTGGCTGATTGGCTTCAGTAGAAACTCAACCGGTTTTCCGAGGTGTTTACAGTGCTTTGACCAGCGCTCCTGTGGGAGCTGGTGTGACAAGTAACATACGGATTTATAAAGACGGACAATGTTTTGCAACTCTTTGGCAAATTGCAGTGTTGGCGGTTTGCCGGGGCAACACAGATGCAGCTCTCCACATGGCTAAGGATGCCTCTCACTGTTTTGGAAAATACAGACTGAGACCAGGACCAGTGAGTATCCCTTAAAAGTGTTGACTTTTGTTAATTTTGCTATGTAGTATGAAGTTCTCTCAGGATGGGAAGATACAGTACCTGTGGCTGCAAAGGCAATGCATTAACTCAGTGGTTCTCAAACTGTGGTACACGTACCGGCAGTGGTATGTGGCGTGCCGCCAGGTGGTACGCCAAATGACCCTGGAACTGTGTTGTGTGCGCTGAAAAAATCGGGACGGGTTTTCATATTTTGTACTTTTATACGTGTCGAATACGCAGCCTGCGTACTAGGATACAGTGCGCGCTAATACTTCAGTGGACACAAGAGATACTCTGTAATTCTATACCACTCTATAGGAATGCGTGCTACGGACGCAAGTGACCAATTGTATTTAAAAAAAGCTACTGTATCTCCAGCAAACAGGGAGAAAGGAGAATGTGTGTGATTTTGGAACAATGCCAACGTTGTAAACACAGGAATGCATAGAAATGCGTACTACGAACGCAGGTAATTTTGTGAGCGCACGAAAGGGTGAAAAATAACAGAAAAATATTTAAGAACTGTTCTAAGTTAATTTGAGAAAAATACATCGAGCGTCTTTGTGTTTCTCTCCCATGCGCATGAAATAAATACTTAAAATAAACACTGAAATAAAAACGGAAACGTCGAAAATGCAAACTTGCAGATTACTAAAGCAGGTAAGCCCCACACTATTATGTGTGGAGAAAAAGCTGCTGAACAGCCCGACCTGCTGCCCCCCCGAAAGACACAGTCATTCATAGAATTATTGAAATGAAGGATTATAACAAAAGTACACTGACAGAGCGCGTTAAGATGAGCAGATGTTTTTCACTGCAATTAGATGAGTCTGTAGTCGATTTGGCCAATTTGCTCGTTTACGTTAGATACGAGTTTGAGGGTACGTCCCGTGAAGACTTTCTGTTCTATAAGCCGCTACCAACAGGAACTATAGGAGAGCACGTATTTCAGCTTCTGAATGAATTTATCGAAGAGAATGACATCGACTGGATAAAATGTGTCGGAGTTTGTACAGACGGTGCTAGAGCAATGACAAGCCGACACAGCGGTGTAGTTGCACGAATTAGAGAGGTTGCTCCAGAAATTAATGGTTTCATTGCAACATCCACCGCGAGACCTTTGCCGTCAAGAAAATGCCTGACGATTTAAAATCTGTTAGAATTGTATCAAGGCTCGAAAAATTAATTCACATCTGCTTTGCTCGACTAAACAGGCTCACCCCTCTCACTGAAATGGTGCTTTTTTATTTTTATGTGTTGTTTTTTTCTGTAAAACACTTTGAGAAGCCACATTTTAATATATCAAACAAAGTTTATTATTATAATATTTATTATATGTATGTGTGAGTGTGTGTGCACATGCGCTCATGTTGGTCATTGATAATTTCTGGGGTTCCTATGAGATGATGACTTGTAGGTGGTACTTGGTCCAAAAAGTTTGAGAACCACTGCATTAACTCATTTTTAAACGGTATAAGACCATTACCAAGGCATGGTTTTGCATCCTGACCAGATGCAAAAGATATGTTGGTCTTCTGAAAGTAGGAAAATTCATCAGGAAATCACCTTCACAAAAAGTATTGGCTCACTTAAAGCATGCTTCTTGTATGCTGTCAAAATTTCAGTCAATTATAAAGCCTTATAAGTTTGCAGGTTTAGCCAACTGCTTAATAGGGCTTTGTTGTGCTAAACTTCACTCTCCAGAAGATGGCAGCAAAACAAGGCCCTTCAGGATAATGATCATCGGATTTAATGGCCCAGGCATCTTCCTTATCTGCAATATTTGAAAATCACACACGAGTACACACTTAATAAGGCCCTATCTCCCTAGTGTGGTAAATGAGGAAAGACATGTGAGTTTATCCCTTGGGTTGGGAAACAACTGCTCTAGTGCATTTAACTTGTAAGATATAGCTGCAACATATAAAATCAATGTAAACAGAAGTGTAAATGAAATGGTTTTGCTTATTTGATTTTCTATTGGCACACTCTAAGGACATCAAAGTGCTGAGTTCGTACTCAGATTCGAAAAAAAATGTATATTTAATAAAATGTATGGATTGGAAGCCATCTAATAACGTGAGGACAAAAAATATTGTTTAAAAACTTCCTTGTGCCTTAGGAGTTTTCTCTGTGAGGATGACAGAAGGGTGTAGCTAAGCCGATCACTCATGACCTTTCACAGAGAGACGCTCCCAAACCACGACACTGGCAGGGACAGGAGGGAGGAAGTTTCTGTTTTCTTGTAAACACCTTCACATGAAACCTGAGAGAAAAACACTAGTGACAGCCTTAAAGCCAGATGACTTTTTCAAAAATATTTTCCTTTTCATCTTTTCTTTTCCAAGGTTGATCCTTAGGGGTACAAGCCCTGCCTTACAGGCTAAACCTCAGAGTGCAACATGTGATTGTTGTTAACTCAGCTCTTCAGCAGCCCAAGAAAAAACAATACAGCATTGTGAGTAGTCCAACATGTTGAACTTTGAATTGACCTTTCAACCTCATGGCCTTAAAAGTGGAAAAGGTGTGTTATTTCAACATGTTGCTCCTTGCTGTCTGAGGGCACAGCATCCTTTTCAAACCTCAGCAGAAGTCACGCAAGGGTTTGCTGAGTGAAAACTAAAATGAAATACTGTATAGACTAGAACTAGATTAAGATCCCTCCACTGTTTATGCTGTATTTTCAGTAGTGATGTCTGATTGTGAAACCCACACTTTAAGGAAATACATATTACTGAAATATAACACAGTTGATGCATGGAAGATTACACCATAATCAAAACTAATCAGAGTTAACACAAGTTTCTTTTCTGTTTTTATATTAAAAAATAATGTGGATATTAACTACTGAGAAATTCTAGAATTAGAAATACCAGTTGTTTTTAAACACTATATAAAAGAAGAAGGGTATTTTTGAAACTTGATAATCCACAGCGTTAAAAGCACCCCAGATTTCCCTGATTGAAAAAAGCTGTTTAAGTTTGGATTTTTATTTCAGGCTGTCATTGAACCTTACGTTTATGCTCTTTAATCAGTAAAACTATTCTGTTTCACAGAACTTATTGGGATGTGTGGCTCATGTTTTTTTTTTTTAATGAGCCTTCTGTCTTCTTTTAATTCTGATTATTCTCTATATAAATAAATAAAAAAAAACTTTGCCATTCACGTTAAGACAGAAGAAGCTCTTTCAGGTATAATGGATGAGACATGAAGATTCATGAGGAATGTATGTATTAAGGAATGAATACTCTCCCCTCTATGCAAATCTCATTTCTGTGTTCTCATATTTATTTTCCTTTCACAGTTTATGTGAGAACTAGGCTTTTCGACCAAGTAGTGAAATCATCTTGTTTACCCTGATCAATGCTCCCCAATGTGAAATGAGTTGTTGTCACAGAACAGCTTCCATTTATTTGGAATCCATGGTATGGACTGTTGTATGAAACTGGTGTTACAACAGGCAATTATGATGTCATATCTTCCATTCTTTATCTAGTGTTGCATCCCTAACACCTTTTTACGGCAGAGGGTATTTTTAGAAACTAAATTCTTTCTCTCCGCCTCTTACTCATTGTTTTGTTCAGTTAAGACATATGAAATCCCACTGAAACTGAATTTCTGACTAAACACTAACAGAAATTAATACAATATTTTAAAATACAAATTATACAATGAAAGTAATAATGAAGGAATAAGAACACATTTACACATTACGTATGATATAAACCCATAGGTAGGACCAAATAAGAAAAAAAACCCAATATGTCACGTGGTCTATATAACACTACTCGAAATCAAACTGCAAAATATTTCTGTAATAATGTGTAGTAATGGGAAACACCTTTTTGAACGTTTGAATTGAGCAAAGGAAAGGTTTCCACAAGGTGTCACTATTTCCTCATTTCAATTAAAAAATGAACTTGCGCTAGTGCTCAGCTGCAGTACAGTTTATCTTGGAAGTCCAAATAACGCGCGATGATGTAGCATAAATAATATATGCTGATTAGTTATTTTTGTTTGTTCACCGCCAATGAGATGAGTGAGACACGGAGATTAGGTTTTGTTCCCAATTTCTACAGAGCCCGTCTAGAGCTGAACCACGGCACGAATCTCAGTACTGTGTTTAATGGTGAAGAGGGGGTTGTGACTGTTCTTAATATTGACCTATTGCTGCTTACAGGCCGCAACTGTTGTTCAACGGGCAGGAGGGGAGGAGGAGTACAGGAGCTGAATATATCAAAGCCATTCCTTGATTTATTGTTATGCATTTTCATACATACATGTATCTAAGTTGTGTTTACAGCTAGTGAAGCCACTTCCACGTCTTTTACAACGATTCGGTTTTTTTTCCATTTTCAAATTCAAGGAAAAAAACGGTTCAAGTAAAACCGTTGCAAACAAAAAGAACAATTTAAGCAAATTTTACTTTTTATCTTTTAATTATCATCATTGAATTAAAAATATCTTAGACTATAAAGAGGCAAATAAATATAACGCAGTATCTTATCTAATTATGACTAGAACACGTTTTAAATCTTTTAACCAACATAGTTCAAACTTAGACTGAGGTTCCCATATTTTCTGTTGACTCTTTAAAACACTGCTAAAATAGCATTCAAATCTTCTATCATCTTACCAATACAATTCAATCAAACTTGCAAAAATTGAGAATCCTTTACCCCCACAAATCTTACACGATATGTAAAGCGTCGTGAGAAAAAAAAAACAATTAAGGCAAAGCGATAAGTGACGAATCACATTTCATTCAAACAGATGCATCAATCTTATGCTTTCCACTGACCACCACATATCCCCCCAGTCTGCTGCTCACGCCTGCGCAGACCCCGACATTGAGCTCATCCCCCGAACAGCGCGTGAATCCTCGTGGTGAGTAATTCATTCCTCCTAGGTCGGGCTAGTGAGGAGGCAGAACCAATCACGTCGGCCATCTAAAATGGTGACCTCACCTATCTCTCTCCCATTGGTTTGCTATATTAAGAAAGCAGTCCTAGTCTTTAAAACCGGGGGAAGTTGGTTTTTCAGCAGTGGCTGAAATAAGGCAGAAAGAGGTGGTGGTGGTGGAAGATTGCAGCGCTAGCTCCAGAAGTACAGTTGCCTTTACGTGTTGCAATAAGCTGATTTTCCGTTTGCACTCCGCTGATTGCTTCGTGTTTCACTCCGCGTGTAACCCGACAGCGTTGAGGAGAAAGAATGGCCGCTATTCGGAAAAAGCTGGTCGTAGTCGGAGACGGAGCTTGTGGGAAGACCTGCTTGCTGATCGTTTTCAGCAAAGACGAGTTCCCCGAGGTGTACGTGCCAACGGTGTTTGAGAACTACGTGGCCGACATTGAGGTGGACAGCAAGCAAGTGGAGCTGGCTCTGTGGGACACTGCCGGGCAGGAGGACTACGACCGCCTCCGCCCTCTCTCCTACCCCGACACCGATGTCATCCTGATGTGCTTCTCCGTGGACAGCCCGGACTCCCTGGAAAACATCCCCGAAAAATGGGTGCCGGAAGTGAAGCACTTCTGCCCCAACGTGCCCATCATCCTGGTGGCCAACAAGAAGGACCTGCGGAACGACGAGAACGTCCGGAACGAGCTGTCCAGGATGAAGCAGGAACCGGTGAAAACGGAGGACGGCAGAGCCATGGCGGTGCGCATCGGGGCTTACGACTACCTGGAGTGCTCTGCCAAAACCAAGGAAGGGGTGCGGGAGGTGTTCGAGACCGCCACCCGGGCCGCACTGCAGAAGAGATCCAGACCATCCGGGGGCTGTTTGAATTGCTGCAAGCTTTTGTGAACTGTGAAGGACAGTCGCTGCGTGACACGAACTGAAGGAAAAAAAAAATCCCTTATTTTTTAAGCGGTAAAGGTTACGGGACAGGCACTCTCCAGTTAGTCTGGTGCCGAGATTTAACAAAAGAGGGGAAATAAACCTCAAGATGGGACTGAATGAGACTTGCCTTCTCTGCACTCGCGTGACCGAGGACTCCAGGGTGTCATGCGGAGCTTGACCCCTCGGCAGAACTTGCATTAAAGACCAGACTATTGACGTTTACTGTGATGGTCAGTTTTTGACGGTGGGTTTTGGGGGCGCTGTGCTAAGGCCAAAGCAACGTAGGTCTTGAAATCGGGGTGAAATGATCGGGTTTCTTAAGTGGCGGTGTCTAATCTGTGGGGAATTCTGTTAATTTTGTAAATCCGACCACCGTCAGTTGCATTAAGATTGAGACTGAGGGGGCGAGGATCCCCCCCCGGGAAGCAAATTGCATTCTGAAACCACTTTATAAAGAAATTGACATCTTAATAATCCCTAGTTAAAAAGGTGGAAATTAGGCTTTTTGAGGTGATTTTTTTTTTTTCCACCCACGAAGTGATTGCATTGTACCGTAAGCGAGAGGAGATGCCTGTCTGAAGAGAAAGCGAGCGGGTGTTACCTCTGTTGAAATGGTGGAGAGGGAGGGGGACTGCGGGGTTTTGTCCTGCAGGCTGATGATATAAAAAAA